ATAGAGCCGTCCTGCGTAGAATGACAAATTTTTTAAGACCAGTCTAAATAGTTTATATATCCGGCCACAGTTCTAACTGCACTAACATTTATATCTGTGAAAGAATCAAAATTAGGCAAGAATATAATAAAAAAATCATACATCCGATTCTTTGTTCTCATATAACTCTTAACATTCTTTTTTGTAGATCTGTTTGTGTTACCCTTTATGGACAAAAAGCACTTAGCCTACAACCACTCAAAATGTGCCAGGTTTATTTGTTTTGGTTCTTAAATATTAATAAATACTCAGGGCAAAAATAGTGGACCTGGGAGGAATGTTGAGTGGAGAGACATGGAATGGGGAAATACAGAAAGTGCTTTTTTTTTTTTTATATATATATATATATTAATGAAAATGGAATTTCCCCACACCAGGGCACTTTTGTGGTAAAACAACAATTTTGGTGTAAACCAGCTTTCTGACTGAGAAAGTTTTTTTTTTTTTTTTTTACAGAATGTGTGAACAGATGGAGGAAGTTGGGGTTGAACCAACGAACTAAACTAACTAAACTGTAATGTGTCTAAAAGTGCTTCATCAGTTTGCTCCAAATCATCCAAACTCATGACATGATTGAAACTCATGTGGAAAGGGAAGAAACCCATTTTTGGATATAATAGCCACGCTCACCTGCATGCAACCTTTCTCTAAATATAAAAATGATTGCCTCTGCATGAAAATGCTGTCACATGGTTTATTTTAGCTGCCTAGAAACAAAGAGTCTACTTACCTTGTAGTTCATTTTACCCTGTAGTCCTTCCTATGTTTTTGGGAGGGAAAAAAAATAGGTCATTTAAATGAAAGGAAAAAGAGGCAGGGAGAAAAATATTGAAACTTTCAGTGTTTGAGAAATTTTTGGATACAATAAATAAATTACATCAACAGGCAGTCATTTCGGAAGTCCATCTTCTTCTTCTTCTTTTAAGATTTATCTGTAATTTCTTAATGTAGGCCTACTCATAGTATTATGCCACTAGGCAGAGCCTGCGTGATTGTACAATCATTTGAGAAAGTGATCTTCATTCTGAATAGCTATTAATGTGCATTTAACTGTATTTTGATCACATGTTTATGCATACCGTGCGTGTCACTGAAGCGCTTTGTAGCGCTGAAGTCAATTACTAAAACAAGGCATAATACAAGAAAGAATTTCAATGAGGGTGAGATGAGACACGTTTGTCCAGATCACAGCACCCACTGCTTTGAACTGACTGGATACATCAACTTTCACAACTGCATATGTAAGAGATATGCTACAGTTGGCTACAGTTAGCGGGTCATTACTGCAATGTTATTTCGCTGTATTTTGCGTAACGTAATGAAGGTCTACATTATCTGTCAGGCCATCCAAAATGTCGATGAGTTCATTTCTTCATTGAAACAGATTTGAAGAAATGTATCATTAGGCCTACATCACCTACTCACCAATGGATCCTCTGCAGTGAATGGGTGCCGTCAGAATAAGAGTCCAAACAGCTGATAAAATCATCACATCATCACATATCACAACGTCTTGTGAAGCGAAAAGATGTGTTTGTAATAAACGAATACATCACTAAGATGTTTTTAACTTCAAACCATTGCTTCTGGCTAAAATACGAGTCCTCTTTCCATAACATTGCTTTCTTCAGTGAAAAAGTCAAAAGTCTCTCCTGAATCATTATTATGGACTGTTTTGCCCAGAAGCATTCATTTGAAGTTAAAACACCATGATGGATTTGTTTATTACAAACACCCAGCTGTTCAATTAAAAAGACTTTAATTGATGGACTGGAGACGTGTGGATTACTTGTGTATTATTGTGATGTTTTTATCAGCTGTTTGAACTCGCATTCTGACGGCACCCATTCACTGTAGAGGATCCATTGGTGAGCAAGTGATATAATGCTCAATTTCTCCAAATCTGTCCCAATGAAGAAACAAACTCATCTACATCTCGGATAGCCTGAGGGTGAGTACATTTTCATTACATTTTGATTTTTGGGTGAACTATTCCTTTCATTTTCTTCCGCCAATCCACAAAATAGTGAGTGAACGCACAAACTCAGAGGAGTTCCAGAAGAATAGATGGATGGCTGAGCAATGAAAGAAATAAATGCACTTGTGTTACAGGTTATAAAGTGCCTTGTTCAGAGTGGCCTAAAAATACTGTCCATTTTCTTCAGCACAAATGTTCTATGCATGGTTAACTGGGAGTAATACAGGAACTGCTATTCTTAGATTGTGCGCCACATTCTGCGTCATTACTACTGTTGTTGTCTTAATATGGACTAAGTTAAAGGCTAGTGGATTTGAACCAATGAAGAATCAATAGCAGCTATGTAAAGACAACATGTCAAACAAAGACAAGATATATAAAAATGCAATGTGACCAGGTAGTGGAATTGTTCATTTATTTATTTATATTGGAGCCCAGCATTATGTAAATCCGCTACAGCTTGATCAACAAGGCCAAAGACACACAGTAAAGGCAGTTTGCTGTTTTTCAAACCCGTAATGACAATCACATCTTGATGCTTTCGTTCTAAACCTAGAACTGGGAACCAAATTGGTTACTTCATGTAAGTGGTAATGATATCCAAGTGTGGGATTCATCTCCTGTTGTTCGCGTCTACATTTTGTTTAGGTTAATTTTTTTTGAAGTCTTTGATCAAGGAATGCATGTTTTCAACTATGCTGCCGCTCTGCTGTAACATTTTGTATATCCTCTACAAGCTATAAAAATTGAGGTAAATAATAAAAAAGGAACCTCTGTAAAAAAATGAGAAGAGAAAAGAAAAGAAAGGAAAATTTAAGAGAAAACCATCCTTTAGGTCAGCTCCATCATAATTTGCATTGAAACATGCAAGGGGGTGTACAGTATTTCCTTCCCATCACGTTCCCAGGCTGTCTTAGAGATTGCCTGAGCTAAAGATGCTTTAAGGACCTTTGGAAGCTCTGCCGGAATCTTATTTGGTCTTTCACACTTGTTGGAAAAAGTGTGCTTGAATATTGTTTATGCCTATATTATTCTATAAGACCTTGAATGTCGTCAGTGTAATATAAAGAAAATGTGTTGTGACTCATGAAAACATTTATCAGCTGATAGCTAAAGTTTTTTAGTCTGCAAAATATTCATTTGACAAACAAATTTAATCTTTCTTACTTGTTTTTAGGCATTTCCTAATATCTGGTTGCATTTTTTTTTAATTTTTAATTTTTTCTAGTAATGATTAATCAATCTGAACATGGGACTTCCAAAGGCCCTTCCTCAGCTTCTATGAGATGGACAATTCAACAACAATTCTATTTAATGGATTAAAATACCAGCGTAGTACTTAATACTGTGCAGTATATACTGTATACAGAACTTCTTCTTCCATTGAATTTGCAATATTCAACAAATGTGTAGTTGTTGTCACATGATCTTATAACATCCCTAGTGAAAAATAAATATACTAAAATGAATTTGAAATACATTTATTTCATGCTAAGTATACTACAAATACATTTACATATTTATGTACTTTACAAAAATACCCTGCAATTGTACTTTTGGTATACTTAAAGTCTGCTAAACTGTAACAACTAGTTTTGTACTTGATGCACTTCAGTTGTGCGGAAGTAGTGCTGAAGCCCATCTAAATATATACTGAAGTATATTTGATTGTGCTAAAGTGGAACTATTGCAAGTATACTTCAGATACACTTTAAATATCTTGCATTTAAAGACCAATATTATTCAAAGATCATACAATCCTCATCAACAGTGACATTAAAACACATTTTAGGTTTAATATTAAGAAATGTACATTGTGCACAAGTGGTACGCTAATTATAATTTTTCTATCAGTAAGTCTCAAGCAATATGTCAGGAAATATGTTAATAGATTTGAACTATACTTAGTATGAAATAAATGTATTTTAAATATATTACTTTTTTCTAGGGATTGTATGTTTAGTTCCTTAATATTTTGCATTTTGAGGGGATTTCAAACAATATTCACCTCTAAATTATTCATTTATTTCTATTTAGAGTAATACAATTATTAGGAAGCATATTTCATATTATTTCAAATTAATAAAGTGTTTAATGGCATTTAAAATCCAATGATGATTTGTAGATTGTATCCTCCTCCCAAAAAAATCTCTGTATATTCATATTTTTTGCATTTCCCATTCATTTTCTTTGGCGAAGATCGTAAGTGTGACTTTTCATTTGACGTTTTTTCTAATCGTGTCCACAAATATTTCTTCATTTAGTAAGTGCCACAAAAGTCGCCAAGTTTTTTTCCATTCCGATGAAGTAAAAAATTGAAACATTTCAAAACATACACTTTTTTTTGTCTGAAATGACCAAGGACAACATGAGAGTTAACTGAATTTTGGGTAAAAATGGTCTTGTTTTAATGTCAAAATGTTTTATACTTAAAACTACTAACGCTGAACAAGAAAACTCGAATGCATTGCATTGTGAGATACGGTATTCAACGCAGTGTTCTCTGGCAAATGCCGTAGGGAATTTTAATGCATACAGAAAATTTGCATACTGTACACTGTATACAAATATATACTGCAGTAAGAGTAAGTAGCATGCTAGTATGCTATTCAGAACATAGCATATATCTGTAATCACTGCCTATCTGGTGACTTCCTCTCCCATTTTTCCTTCCTTCTCAATCCTCTGTATTCCCATGAGGTTAGCTCCATTTAATTTTCTGTTTCCAAGCTATATCTCTCTATATAAATCCATTTCACCCCCTGCAGTCTGAATCCAGTCCATACTATACAAGGGCTTTACTAAAAAGCTAACTTTAAACAGCCATACAATGGCTAAACATAAACCATATCTCTACCATGATGCGTTTATTCATTACATTTTTATTCCAGTGTGTTGAAGTTGTCATTCTTGTTAAGGTTTTAGTACTAAAAGTATATTTAGCAGTGTAAGTTGGTGATAGAGGTGTGTAGGAGTGTGTGTGTAGGTTTAGAGTATGGTTTTGAGTGTGTGAGAGCGTGCTAGCCGCTATCGGAGGAAGTGTGTGGTGCGGTAGAGGGTGATCTCCGCCGGTGCACGGATGACGCCCAGGAGCGGTCAGAGGTCTGCGAGGAGGGGCGCGTGAAAGTGAATCCGCGCTGGGTCAGCCCGTCCAGCAGGTGGTGCTGTTGCTGCTGTATGGCTTGTGAGAGCAGGCCAGGCAGAGCCTGCAGACTGCTGTTTATGGAGTCCAGTTTTGCCTCTAGGTGACCGATCCGTTTTTCCAGCTCCTCACTGCGCTCCTGCAGCTCTGAGACCAGGTCGTACATCACATTCTGTGTCTGAAGAAGTGATAAACACACTTAGTAGACATAAAAATGCAAGAATCACACATACAAATACCCTGTGTTGTCTACTGACATGGAAAAGCAAGCACATTTTCTGACTACAAAAAATGAAAACATTAAGATAAAATATTGAAAAACATTAAATAAATATATAAAAAAAATTTAAAACATAATATTAAAAATTAAAAAGACACAAAATACATATTTACACAAATACGTTGTCAAATAACAAATTTAAATAAAATTCCCATTGTTTATTCAGGCACAGACGTCACTTGCCAAATAATATGAAGGATGCAGGTCATGCTGCATACTGTATACTATTTCACATACTATTTTAGAGGTTCATTCAGGTAACGTGGTCCAATTTACCTGAATTTACCCTAAGTGCGCAGTTTTCACATATGAGCACACATAGACTACCGTGCAAAAGTTTGGGGTTGATAAGATGCTGCATTTATTTGATCAACAATACAATTGTGAAACATTATTACAATTTAAACTAACTGAGTACATTTTAAAATGCAATTTATTCCTGTGATGCAAAGCTGAATTTTCAGCATCATTGCTCCTGTTTTCAGTGTCACATGATCCATCAGAAATCATTCTAATATGCTGATTTGTTGCTCAATAACTATGTGTTATTATTAGCTTTGTTGAAAACAGTTGTGCTGCTTAATAAATCTATCCATTCCATAGAATAAACATACAGTACATGACCATACTACAAAACTACCAACATGTCACTACAGATCTACTACTAAAGACTGTACACACCTTTGCTAAGTCCACCAGTGTGTTTGCTTGATCATTCAGCTTCCTTTGCTCCATCTTCACACTTCGCAGTCTGGGGAAAAAATGAAGCCAGGGAGCAGGTGGACAGACAAAGAGAAAAAGATGGGCCACAAGGAAAGACGACACACAGATATACAAGGGAGACAGGAGTTTATAGAGGAAGGAGTGCAAAAGCAAGTGCAGGAGGTTGTGATGGGCAGGGAAAAGAGGAAGAAACAGAGTTTGATAATTAGGCTGAAATCTAGAAGGTATAAAGTGTCACATAATGAATGTTCTTCCATTAAATGATGCGCCCACATGCAAACATTTACATTCCAGTTCGGTCCAGTCAGACATGCAAACTTATTCAGCCACAGGAGGTCAAA